TTTTTTTTTTTTTTTTTTTTTTTTTTTTGCTTTCAAAAGATGTTTAAGGTACTAGATCTTATTCTCTGTCATCTTAGTCTTCAAATGTCGAAATTTTTCGTGCTTTATGTGTGTAATTCGTATGTCTTTTCTTCGTTTGTAAATCTCCCGTCTTGAATCCAACTTCGTTATATTTTAATAAGTTTCTGAAACGTACACGGATGCATTTTGTTCCACATGTTGCCGCAGTTTTGTCGTAATACCTGTACAAAAATTAGTTGATTTTAAGATTATGAGGCTATCAAATTATGTCTTTAGATGATGTTAAAAATCATTTATTGTTGTGGTGGTTAATGTAACTAACATCCAAACTTTAACTGAACCTGGCTTTGGTACTAAGTTGCATAAATTCCAAGTGGTTACTGGGATATAATCATTTTTTGGTTGAAATAGCAAAGATTTGAGGTATTTTTCTGGACGCTATATTCGACTTCATTCACTTTTGTTAGTTTTAACAGTAAAATCAATTGGAGAACAACCATGATTAAAGCTTATTTTAAGACAACTTATATTGTTCTATTATCTTTTTGTGTTGTTAATTAAACAGATATTTGTTTTTTGTATTTTGATGTCTGTTTCGTCCTCACACTGTTTTTTCCTTTTTAAAGCAACAAATAGGTAAGAAGTACTAATTATATCGTTTTGCAATTTACAACCATCTTAATTTTACAAGTTATACTATGTCTTGTTAGTAAACTGTATTAAATTTTGATTTTTGATGTCTCATTTACATTTGTTATGGCTTATAAAACTGACCAACATTTCTGCTAAAAAACTTTAAAAGTATTTGTCTGTTGATAGAAATAACAGATAATAGTTTACGCAGCAACACCAGTGTATATTAATAATTTTACCTTTATTCTTTATCCCTCATAAATCCACAACTCTTTTACAACTGTTCAAATTTTAACATAATTTAAAGTGGAGTTATCAGTATCGGGCAAATTCACACAAATACATACAAAAACACACAC